CTGAATATTTTTAGCGACTGTAACATATTATGGAAAGTGATTGACGTAATGCAACTGGTGATAATAGTACTGGGCAACATCACGGCCATCCTGACTGTGATGCTGAGCCGTGGCCAACAACAGAGCATCACCTCGAACCCTCTGATCCTAAGTCTCGCAGTGTCGGATTTGCTCGTTGGTTTTGCGGCACTGTACAATTTCACCGTCATCGACGAATCTCTGCACGACAACAAGTATCCGTGCCTGCTGAGGTTAGTCCATACGTGTACCTTCAGTTTAAAATGCCATTTGTATAAATCCAAAGTCCCCAGGTATACGTATTTGTATTTTCCACGTATATTTATAACCATATTCGTTACTCCATCGACCAGATTTGTACTGTTGTGCGGTTCCTGCTTAACAAGCTTCTACAACATCGTGGCGATAGCCGTCGATCGTTACATCGCGATACTTTACCCGCTCAAGTACCAGCTGTACATGACCGAGGGCGTGATATCTGCCATGGTAATAGTCATCTGGTCGGCAGCTTGGATGGTATCGACGGTACCGTTCTACTGGAACACTTACGATCCAAAGTGCGAGTGCTGGCTCCACGCGGTAGTTCCCAGGTATAATGAAGATCGAGATGATTTGATTGTCAGGTCCCACAATCTCGTGTGACTTTTTCGACTTGTTGCTTTGCAGGTACTACGTGATGCTGGTTTTGGGGCCGATTTTTCTGGTGGTTTGGCTGGCCATTACGACGCTCTACTGGCGAATCTGGAAAGAAGCGAGAGCGTACACGCGCAGGAAGCTAACGATTTCCACATCCACCGGCCAACAGTGCACTCCCAACTACGGCAAGAGCAATCGGGTATGGGATCGTTGGCGTGCACGCAATATCTCATACACTCTGCATTGCCATAGTCGTCATCGTTACTTTGTTTTTGCCCCCTCAAGGTGGTACTCACGATATTGGGGTGTTTCTCCATCTGCTGGCTCCCGCTGATGATTGGAATGTTGCTCCAGTCGTTCCACGTGAATCTTAGCATCACCGTGCACCGAGCGATGTATTGGGCGGCGTTGTGCAACAGCAGCGCGAATCCAATAATCTACACGTGGAAGAACTCGACCTACCGCAAGACCTTTTGTCGCCTATTGAGGCTCGAAGTACGGCCCGGTGAGGAGAGGAAACAGAACGAGCCGACCAAGAGGACGACGTTGCAGGAGCCCAGGACTATCTCGACTGTGCTCCAAGTGGAGGTTGTTGGGCACAATGCGGCGTCTTGAGGGAACTATTTTTTTTTTTTTTCCCTTTTTGTATTTTTTACTACGCCGTAGTTGTAGAAAGTCATCGTGTTATATCTTTATCACAAAATAAGTGCTCATCAACCATAAAGCTGGGATTAGGCATTAACATCGAAATTTACTTTTAATTATACTTACCCGCAAAGATAATTAAAAAAATAGTATTATCAAGTGGTTCAACACGAGCGTCATGTTTTTTATGAATACGGTTTAGTTTTAGGGAGAGCTGCTCACTCTATAGTTTTGCAAATATCTTACAATTACGAAACGCGAGAGAACATGTAGAAATAAAGAACGAGCAATTTGTACAGAAAAATGTTTTTTCAATTTATTAATTATGCATCACGAGAACTTGCACTATATTATTGATTATAGTTATTAAAGGGAAAAAAAAAGAAAAAGTAATGAGTACTTGATAAGAAAGGAGAAAAAAGGCGGGAGTGTGTAAGTACGGTTCCTTTGCGTGGGTCGAGAGACGAATATTACCGCTTACCGGTACTTTTACCAAGTATAAGTTTTCCCATTGAAAAATAAAAAGTACAAATATAAGCTGCATTTATCCGCAGGGCTGTGTAAATTGAACAAACGCGAAATCGCACGTACGGCTAAAATTAATAACGATACGACGCGTGTTTGTATAACGGATGCAGTTATACGCGTATATATGCCCAGATGGGGGTGCAGGAGATGTTATTTGAATTCTTGGGCATCTCTAATTTGCAAGTATCGCCGTTACAACTCGGGACCGAACGTGTTGCTCCAGCACGTAGGGGCGCATCCTTTCCTTGTCTCCCCCCGAATCCGAGAGAACCGACGGAGCTGCCCCGGCATGCCGGGTTGCTCGCGAGAGCGGAAATTTCGAGAAAATCGGCAACAATACACGCCCCTTGAATTATTTCGGCGGGGGGTCGGTGCGGCCGTCGCGGCTCCAATTATCGAATATCAACAATTAGCCGCTGGTTAGCTGCTACAGCCGAGCCCCATCTCCGCTGGCATTGCTATTCTGCCGTTGCCTTGGTTAATCAGGAGCGTCAATCGCATACTTGCCGCTCCCACTCTCTAATCTATATTACCTGCATCTCGCGTATCTCTCTCTCTCCGTATAATTGCAATTACGTCAAATGCACAATTTCAAGAAGCCCGCGCGCTTCGCAGTATACCTCTAGGTATGTATATACTCACTGGCCAATTTCAACTCTGATGCTATTGTTGCACTGCATCCTCGTCTAAAATGCACGGCATCGCGGGCTGCTGGAATACTTAGTTGGCCAAACATTACTGAACGTTAAGTATATCCTATGCACTGCATCGGTCCGCAAATTACAGATACGAAAAAAGTTGGTACAGGTCTGGGTATCGGAAAAGCGCCGCATGTGCCTTTGCAATGACTTTTCATTGGATCACGGCTTTAGAGCTCCTCCGCTCTTACTTGATCCGATTGTTTTGGTGATTCAACCAAAAATGTGTTTGATCAGGAATAGTCGTTGACTCGTCAATCTAAATAAACATTTTTTTTATTTACTTGTTCGCAATGCCCGTTGATTAATTTTAAGGATCATGTTTTTACACGGACAGTTGAAAGCATCCAAGTACCGGGTATACTATTTAAAGACGTACCTTTTAGCGTAAAAAATTAAGAAAAAAAAAAATCGATTGATTTCGCAACGTCTTAACCCGATGAATATGTTAGCAGCCGCGAGCACTTGATTGACTTGCCGGCTTTTTTCTTTTTCCATATCGATCAGCCCTTGAAATAGAACTCGAGGGAACGATCGTAGATTAAATTATTGATGCACTCCTGGAGGGGATTCGACATGCAACGCCACTACCAAAAGGGATATCGGACGTCACAGCTACCTTTCGAATAGCTCCACGAATGCCTACGGATCGTTCATGCCGGCGCTCGCTGCCTCTGCATCATAAATGATTTTTAATGGATATTTCCATTCGGACACTCCCGTCTACTTGAAATTCGTATGTAAAAATACATATCCATTTGCAATGATGTGTATATGTGACACATCTGCTAGCGTAATAAAATATATATTCTTCAACAATGTTTGATACCACATTTATAGAGTATAAATCAGTTTTCATTTCGAGCCAGAGACAAGTGGTGACCGACGTATCGTACTTACGTAGGAAAAAAAAANAAAAAAAAAAAAAAAAAAAAAAAAAAAAAAAAAAAAAAAAATGTCAACGCGCAAAATGTTTGTACTCGTAAAGGAGCTGCAAGGTGGGAGGTTTTTCTCGTGGAAATAAAAAACTTCCTCTTGATGGGATTTTTTTTTTTTTTGGTGCGGGGAGAGCATTAATTGCTCAATAAAAAAGGTGGGAAAGAAAAAGAGAGGACTGACCACGATTGCCGAATGGCTCGACTGAGCAATGTACGGGTAAGTGGTAGAGGCGCGGTGTATGTATACCATTAGGCAGCGGACCAAAGTACATAAGAGCGAGACGGACATCAGGTGGGAGTGGGAGAGCAACCGCGTGACAGTTAACAGCGTGGGCGTGTGCGAGCACCAAAAAGCCCAAGACGCGCGAAGCGAGGGGGCAACGAAAGCGAAAAATCAGAGGAGATTGTAGCCCGAGCGGGTGGGGGGGGGGGCGGCAAAAGTTTGTTCCCTCGCTCGGCCGGTTGCCTGATGGCTAACTAGCTTTGGAAGTTATCAGTACACGCGGCGGTGATTAGCATCGCGGTTCGAGGATGCCGCCGTCGAAATAGACCTCGGGAGCGCAAAATCCCCACTCTACATGTTGGTACATTATACTTACTCGCTGCTACGTTTCGACGTTGTCCTGCTCTTGGGTTCTACGCGTGTGTATATGTATATATACACGCTCCTCCCAGAGTTTGAAAGCCCGATGATGCCGCGTTGGCAAAGTCTCCGCCATCGTCACCAGCAACACGCCCCCCCCCCCACACCATGTACTTTACTCCATGAATTTCTTCGAGGGAATTTTCGAGTCCATGTGCCAGAAAAAATAAAAGTCTCTCGTTAGTTTTTTTCAAATTTAGAAAGTATGCAACTTTGTTACACCTTACTAGAGTTGAATTTTTTTTTTTTTTCAGCTCAAAATAATCACACGGGGAAAAAAAATTGATGTCTTTGAGTTTTTATCGAAATGAAGCTGCTGTAGTTCCGAGAAATGTTTTTTGTTACCAGTGAAAGCCCGGGACATCGAACTTACGAGGTAACGTGTCTTGTACCCGTGGGGCACTGTTAACCGTATGTCGTAGCAAGGGGTAGTGTGGAGGCTTCCAATGCGACTTTCCACGTTAAGCGTATACACGGCACGAAGGGGCTGTAGCCGGAACAAAGGAGCCCCGAGGAATCCATACAATATTCTTGCAAAGATTAAAAATCATTGTACGCCGACGTGGGGCCAACGCATTACAACGTGAATAAATAAAATCGATGGGGCACATGTGTACACTTTGTACGGCCCGACGTATAATATTAGGTACACGTCGACGAGGCTCACTATTATAAAGGCATTGTTACTCTGTACTATTGGTGCGATTTGGGCGCCTCTTTCCTTGCCTCCTCCGCTTGCTTTCGAGCACCGAGTTTCAACACTTTTTTACCACCCGGACCGAAAACTCCGAGCCGGCCTCGGGGCCGAACTTTTACGCCGAGGAGATTAAATTCCTTTTCACGGGACGCATTCAAACTTTATACCTGCCGTGTCTGCGGATACTTGCTTAACCGGATGATGGGGGGGACCCGTTGATTTGTCCGGCGCTTTGTGGTGTTTAAGACAATGGCAAAGCGATTGCGAGCATATAATGCCATTCGTGACTGTGCCATCCTCGATAAGCATTGGTATGAAGCTCAGCTTTGTTTGCGAGATGATGACTTTTTTCCCTGAGTTATGTGGTCGGTGGGAGTTGGGTGAGATTTTTCAAAAGTTCGCCAGCAGCTCTGGAGCGCTCGGGATTCTTTTCAATCGGGAGGAGCGTCCTGAAAGTGAAAAACTGGAAAAATTCTTGCTAAACATGTACACAGGCATGCACGGAGCTTTTTTTCCAAGGGATCAAAGAGGCGTGGTCGTGAAAAACAAAAAGCTGAAAAGTCCCGGGATTTTCCTTTTTCGCCGAGTCGCGTGGTTTCACGAGTCATATAGAAATTGCACAAACTGGCTCGTACAGATAACGAAACGGGCCATCGTGTGTACGCAATCAAGTCCCGCAGTGGGTCACGGGCTCTTGAAAAAAAAAAAAAAAAAAAAAAAAAAAAAAAAAAAAAAAAAAAAAAAAAAAAAAAAAAAAAAAAAA